TAGAAAAGTATGGTTTTAGAAGTGGGGTAAACTGCTTATTTCTTTGTGAGCCTTAGTAGTTGACTGTGCACAATAATAATGCAACAACATCATGTACAGTGGTATATCTAGCGTTCACTCACCGAAAATGCGTTCTGGTATTGGTGTATATACTTGGCTACAATCACTGAGCTCTTTTGCTACTGTCAGTTGGCGGTACAGTGGAGTTTGCAGGAAATAATGTCGGCTCAAGTATCTACCTCAATCAGCTAGTGTGGGCTCCTCCAGACCCTCCCCAAGGAGACATCATTCACTACAACGTCAGGATCACCAGTGTTACCAATGAATCTGAGATTTTTGTTCTAGTGGAAGGAGTAAATGATACCTTCCTTGATGTGAAACCCTTTGTCCTATCAGATGGGGAATATTTCATCCAGGTATGCATTTATTGAATGCAATGTGAAATTTTGCTGTGCAGTTGGGAGAGTGTATTTTGACTATTCTGATTGTTCAACAGGTTCAAGCTGTAACGAAGGTAGGAGGAGGGAATTTTTCCACCCCTGTCATAGTCACAGTTCTGTTTGGAACAACCGAAAATGCTACAACAGCCACGAATCCACCTGTAATTCAGTCGGCAAAACAAGATGACACCGTGCTCTTTAGCCTCGCTGTCCTGCCATCATTCATCATAGTTTCAGTAGCTATAGCTGTGTTTTCTCTCCTTTACTACCGAAGGTGAGAGAGAGAGCTAGGTTGATATTATACCTACATGCTGCCTCTTTGTACACATGAGTTTTCTTCACTGCACCCAGGTACCGGCGAAGGAAGATGAAGAAAAGAAGTAAGTTATAACACCTTAACATCACTTCCCATGCACACCTATCTCTGTATCACACTCTTACATGTAACCTAAAACGAACCACGTCTGAGTCTCATTTTATTAACAGGATTCAGGGAAACAATTGCCAACCATCAGTAAGTTGCCTCAAAAGACTATACTACACTGGTATTGATGAGTATCCTCCTGTAGGAGTCAGCTACAGCACTCAACATCTCAGCTTGTCACACCAGGTCCAGAGCTTTGTTTTGTAGGTCACAGTGTTACAATTAATGACCTCTCTGGTGTTTACAGATGAACCAACGGCGTGCCGCGATTTGAAGCGTTGTCCCAGCAAAGAGAGAGAACAAAGAGCAACAAGTACATTTTTGGATCAACTCTAGGTTTGCTTAGACTAAATGTTAATGTATTTCTCCCATGCTTTTCATTTTATATTATTATCATACTTCTCCGTCTCTCTCTCTATAAACTATGTGTTTGTCTGTTTGCTTGCCTGCCTGTCTATGCATCTTCTTTTCTGCAATTTTCAGTGGAAAATTCAGCCTTATCTCAACTGGAGAGTCTTTCTCAGCACATTCCAAAAGAGATACTTCTCACCCAAGACAATATCCAACTCTCAAATGTGATTGGAGAAGGTCTGGACATTAGCTGCATTACTATAATTATGGGTCTTGGTGGTGCGTTAGGTAAGTTTTCATTGCTACAGGTGAATTTGGACAGGTGTACAAAGGCTACATGAAAACAAAGTACCAGACTGATGTAGTAGCTGTAAAGACTTTGAGAGGTGCTAAAATTAATAAGCACATGCTTCTCACCATGAACTTGGTTTTTCCCCGCAGCTCTGAGTTCAGTGGGTGAGGTGAAACTGCTCATGAAAGAGATAGTGAAAATGGTCAACTTTGACCACCCCAATGTGATGACTCTGACTGGAGTCATCCTAGTGGAGGGTGGAGCTCCTCTCCTGGTCATGCCCTACATGGTGAAGGGAACTCTCCTCACATACGTCCGTGAGAACAAGGACCAGTTCTTTGTGGAAGATGACAATGCGGAGGCTGCAGATCAGGTTAAGCTATAGCTAACCACTGACTAGCTTTGTTCAGCTGCCTTTTAAAAGGGTAATCTGCGGTGAAAGTAGCAATGGTTTTCAGGGCTCTTGTGGAGCTACGATTGATTAGTTGCAAAACTTCTCAAAAAGGCAATCTTTAGCTCTATTTAGGGGACTATCTGGAGTTTCTTCACATTACAGTAATACATGCTTAAAGGCAGTTTTTTCCATCCAAAACCAAAGTTGCTTGTATTTGTAAAATGCTGTGTTACTGCTTGGTGTCTATTGCCTTTCTTGTTGATGGTATATATAATGCAGGTGGATGAGATTTCAAAAACTCTCATTGAATTCTCGAGACAAATTGCACTTGGAATGCAATACCTGGCAAAGAACAAGGTTGTACATCGTGATCTGGCAGCAAGGAACTGTCTGTAAGTAGCTAGATGTTTTTCAATTCCTCCTATGTGCTCATTGAATCATTTTTGTGTGCAGGCTGGACATGTGTGGGACTGTCAAAGTGGCTGACTTTGGTCTGTCAGAGGACATGTATTCCACCAACTACTTTCGTCAGGGAAAAAGCAGTGTTGATGCAGTTGAGACAAAAGTACCCATCAGGTGGATGCCTCTTGAGAGCATTGAGGAGGGCCTTTATAACGAGAAGAGTGATGTGGTAAGAATGGAAAGATATTGGTTTTAGTCACAGGAAGAGAAAGTTAAAGCACAAGTTTTTCACAGTGTGGTTGAGACATACTTATATTGCCTAAATGGGTAAAGTTTACGACGTCTTACTTAGTATATAAGAGGTTAACATGCACATTCGCAAGTGTAACAACAATAGGGACACTTCTAGAGTACATGAATCGTCGTAAGTGGGGACAGTTGTTACCTGTCTTATGTAATCGCTGGTCTTTAACCCCAATTCACTGCACAGTGGTCGTATGGAGTGACAGTGTGGGAGATATTCACGTGTGGGAAGGTTCCCTACCATGGCATCAGCTGCATGGCTCTCCCTCGTCTCCTCCGTGCTGGAGAACACCTCGAGAAACCCTACAACACCGCCTGCTCTGAAGAAATGTAAAACTATTTTCATGAGACATCAGTACCTTGTCATTAATAGCTTTATCCTTACACACTGTGGGTTTCTTAAAATAAGGTTATAATCTTCAGATGTTGCATAAAATCACTTTACTCTTCCTTCTGCCTGAGAGTGTGTGCTCAATACTTTGTGAAATCGTCATTGCAGTGCCACAGTAAAGTCTAAGAAACTCGTCTACTATATAGTGCTATAGCTACCCTAGCTACTAGTTTGCATCCAAGTTTTTCATGGGTACTTGACGATAATAATTTAGCAATCAGGGTTTGTATATATTTAAGAATTCTCAAAAATCTTTCTGCAGGTACTCACTGTTGTTGAGCTGTTGGAATGCTGTTCCACAGCAAAGACCGAGATTCTGTGAAATTGTGAGCAAGATTGACATGATGATGGAGGAGAAGTTTGGGTATCTCAGGATGAACACTAACTGCAGCTAATTGCTCTTCTTGGACAATATTATAGTGGTAGAATACATCGCCTTCCACCCCATTCGTTGACAGTGTTGTACCTTAATATGACTGGTCTGCCTTCTTTGTAGATAGGTAGCTAGAGTCATTTTGTGTCGGTGTATACACTACATATTATTATTACTAGAATATCTGAAACCTATAGCTACATTTGCAATTGTCATGATCAGAATGCAATGCTGTTTTGTGTGCCACAATTGCAAAGCGGGCTCGCTCGCCCATGACTGTGACTGTTTGGCGAGCGGGAGCGAGTCGTCGATCGTTTGCAACGGCCGATTTTCGGTGATGCGACACATACCCTTCTACGTCATTCTAATACGGAAGCCGAGAAGGGCCATTCCATACTTCAGTTGTACACGAACTTCCATTCTTCCATCCTGCCATTCTTCCACTCTTTTGTCCTGCCATCCTCTTATCCTCCATACTGTTTTGTTTTCGCAGAAGCGCGTAACGACGCCGCGCATGCGCACTTACACGGCGTACGCGGTCGTATTGCTTTCTTGCGCATGCGTACTAGTGGAAATGTTGAACATTGTTGGCGAGCTGCAGCGACCCAACTGGGGGATTTGCCCGCGATGTTGGGGCATAAGGTGCCGTCCTTTGAAGTAAAACAGATCTACCTGTCGCCGTTACATGCGTACTATTGCCAGAACGGTGAGCAGGTGAGCAGAACGGTACTACCTTATGGCTTTCAGCTCGTCAGTCGTGGTCCACCAGGCAGCTGGCATGCAGCAGTATCTATCTGCACGAGCAATCCTAGCTTATTTCCAAGTTGCACCTTCGAATGAAGATTGGGAAGAGGTACAGCCTCGGTCAGTCACCGAAGATTGCCGTCGAATAGAGGAGAGTTTTGTCGCTGGCTAGATGGATCGGCGCATATCGAGAGGCAGCGTGTGTACGTAACGAAGCCGCGCATGCGCACTTGCACGACGTACGCGGTCGTATAGGAACGACTAGGTTAGGTTGCTCCCGCTCGCCAACGAGTGTTCTGTGCAGCGCTGCTGATCGCTCCTGTTGTGGTGTCAGAGCCGGTTGGCCACGTAGGAAGAACTGGAAGGCCATAGACGCCCAACAAATACGGTATATATACAGGCAAGGAGAGCGCATTGATGGCGTTTTCTGAACGAATCGTTTCCAGTTTTGTGGTGGTGGTGGTGCTGTTGATCAGTCATGCAGGCTGTGTCCAGGACCAAGCTCCAGGAGATGGTGTAGCGATATGTGCTGAGGAGATCGTTAATGGAGAGCCAAACCCGTTCTTTAGCAACCGCCCAGTGTACTCTGCCAATGAACGACCTCTCATGGACTCCGGAGACTATAACCGCCTTCTTCTGGAAAGTGGCGACGCGTATGTACCGTGGCAAGGCCTGGATAGGGACAATAACAATACAAACATGGTTGTAACTCAGGTAAGGACAATAGCTATACTAAACATAATTTATTAAATTGCTCTCCAGTGGACTCAAACTGGATCAGCCACATGTGCTGGGACAGTGACAGTGTGTGGATTCAGTGAGGGAGCTCAAGAGAACTGGCTCATCACACAGCACATCAACACAGTGCTACCAGGAGGAGGAGGAGAGAGACTGAGGAAAGTGACTGTTCAGTTTGAGGGAACTCTCAATGGATGTGACATCAGTAGACAGTGCAGACAGAGTTTTGAACTATACAAGTGGGAAACTTCAGCCATTGACAGAAATGGAGCAAATAACACCAACAATTATGTCAGAGTTGGTCGAGTCTCTCCCTCAGTTACTAGTGGAGTCATGTCCTTTGTTGACTCTCATGATATTGAATTAGGCACCACAGGTGGTTTTTACTTGGGAGTTGTTGACTTGAGAACTTGTGTTACTCTCACAAGAATTCTAGTTCTCTACTACGTGTGTCCAGAGGAGACATCAGAACTCATCTCAAGACCTGAGGCAATTGAATCCCAGTCTCTGGAAGGCTCACCTTCAGTGGAGGGAGAGTGTGTAGAGAACAGTTCCACAGAGTCTGGGGCTAATCCTATTCTTATATGTGGTGCTAGGGGACAGTGGCAGGTGATAAAACCTTGTCTCTGTAATCCTGGACAACAGCTAAACAGTGGTCAGGATAAGTGCTCAGGTACGTCAAGGGGTTACACGAACTGTGTGAATGTATATAATGTTCTTTTGCAGAGTGTCCAGAGGGAACCTTCTCATCAGGACTGGGTCCAATGGACCCATCTCATTACAGATTTTACAACAATCACATATCATTAAATTTACCATTTCTCTTTGTTCCACTGTTTGTTTTTTCTTTCCACCGGCCTCTGCTGGGCCATTCTTCTACACGTTCCTCGTCGTTGTAGGTCTTTGATTAACAAACGTATTTATCGGCCTCTGGTGCGTGATTATATCCTAAGTATTGAGTTTACTGGTTTTGTTCTCAAATTTTTTCTACATTTTTGGTTGTTTGCATACTGGCTTGTCACTAGTTTGTTTGGCTCCGAAATCCTGGGGCAGGGGTGGTGGTTGGCGTCAATTGTCCCGCTCATAATCATAACACTATTGCTTGCAATTTTCCAAAAAACTTCATCATTATTTGTTGCCAATCTAGTTGTCCTTAGTATTATCATCATTATCACATAGCAATATTTTTTCTATGGTTATCATATCCAAATGTTTAGCATTGGTTTGCATTATTAGTGGCTCATTGTACATCAAATTGTTATCATTGGTGAACAACATGGTCATCAACTGTTTTCATATTACTACGTTATCATCTTGTTTTATGCAATGAATTCACCATCAATGTTATATTGCAATACATCATTTTCACCGTTCAACCATATTTGTTGATTATAATTTCAATCATTCAACAATATCATGTGAACATTCCAGCTCACTTGGGGGATTACTGGAACTGGCTGAGCCACTGTCCATTTCTCAGGACTACTACAAGCTCCTTAGAGGGGCCTTCGTCCCTGTACCCTTAAGACAAGGAGGTAGAATTGAAGTAAACGAACTATGTTTATTATTCCTTTTCTTATGAATACCTCGTGTATTCTAAACCAGACTGATAAGCTAGAGTGTTGTTTATTGTCAAAATCACTAGGTATGTATTATCTGTGTAACAACTGTATGCACCTATTGCAGAGTCTCCCAAGACGTCCTCTTAGCTAAGAGTGTCAATTGCCAACACTACCCGTCCTCTACCTTGTCTCCTCCTGATAATGTGGGATTTGGAGACCCTCTCTATGAACATTCTACACGCCGTTACTGGCCACACTGGTAATTTTTTAGCATTGCTGGCAGACAATGTAGCAAGTCTCTAATGACAAGGCAGTTTGTGCCTTTTTCCTGTAAGAAATGGTATTGTTTTGGCCTGTTGAGGAGTCTCAGTACAACTGCCACCACTCTGGAAGGAGGTCTGTATAAGCCATAGGTGGAGGGAGTGCTTTTCTGTGCACACTGTATATACAATATCCTTGGGAAAGCTGCAGTTTATTGTAACAAGCTCTGCAATAAAGTCTGAACCGCAAAGGTTGTATATAGTCCCATGGGAGTTGCTACTTATACTCCTGGCCATACACATTGTGATTGTGCAGTCACAACATCTAGTGCTAAGCATAGTGTCAATTGTCTGGATTCCAAAGTTTACACAACAATCGATTAGTATATAGGGCAGGATGAAGCAGCAGAAATTCAGCGTTGTGATCTGTTCTTGTCCAGTAAAGTCAACAGCTTCAGAGTATATCCTGTACCGCCTTGCCGCCTATATGTTAACTAATACTAAAACATTTATCTTTCAACCACACCCCATGCAGTTGGAGGGACAGTGACAGAGTTTGTGGTGGGAGAGAATGGAGTGTTGAGCTGGTCTTCTCCAGTTCCTCCCAATGGAGTCATTCTCTACTACAATGTCATCATATCCACAGCTGACTCTGGGCAACTGGTCACCAGAATTGAGGAGTTGGACGTCTTGACTATTGATGTCTCCAACTATGGAAAGATCAACATGGACTACAATGTTACTGTAAGCGGTTTTGATTATGGTTTTTCATTTCTGTAGGCATTTTTTTAATGCACACAGATTTTTTTACTCCACAGCAGCTGCACATGACACTATATTATAAGGGCTGTTGGTATGCTGTTTCTTGTTTCTGTAATAACCACATTAATTTGTTTCATGACTATTCATGCACATTCTAGTTCGCCATCATTTTTACCAGAAACTACACCTGGGTGTGCTAGCAAAATACCTCACAGTTGTATAGTTACCATAATTAAGTTTACTCAAACAATCATAGGGCTGGATTTCTGTAGTAAGAATTCTGCTGTAGTGCAATAGCGTAGCATTTAGCACACCCACTTTTATCATCTCTTGTGTGTCATGCTCAGGTGCAGGCAGTGACGTCAGTTGGAGGAGGGGATTTCTCATCTCCAGTGACAGTATCTCTGAGAGAGCCGTCACCTGACTCCAACTCTAATGAAGCAGGTGTCATTGCTGGTGCAGTTGTGGCCGTCACTCTCACTCTTGGTCTCATTGTGGCTGCTCTATGTGCCTATATCTGCTGGTATGTTTTACCATTGTCTCCGAGACTCACATAAGGGATAAAGGATGATTCATTAATAGTGATACATAGATATAATCATACTTGACTGCTGTCAATCAAACTCAAACACAGTTTTGTTTTTTCACTAACAAAACTTGTGCTTTCCCCCAATGCACGTAAATTTTGTGAAAGACGATACAGTGAAATATTTGATGAAGGTAACTAAAGGGTTCTGAAGGCTTCTTGTAAATGTCCAGTCCACACATTCAAGCATCCTATTATGTAAAGGCTCTGCTGCTACACCCTGTCAGTAATAATAGAATAACGCTAACCTTGCAACATGGCACACTTTTCTGCGCACAGCAAGTGGCACCAAGATGATTTGCATTTCTCAGATTAAGTACATTAAATACACTTCACTTTCATTATAACTACGAAAAGAGTGCATTAACCAATTATGCTCTGGTGCGAGCACCCAGCGTACAGAATGCTGATGCACATGGTTGGACCACGATGACTATGATGACTCTGGTCAAGATAGCAGGTGTGGCCCTTGGGTGGAGTCAGGCCCTTGCCAACATGGTGTAAGTGATGATACAGTGCATGATTAGCCCAACAGGCTAATCAGCTCCTATTTATAAAAAAAAATCCTGTCCACACTGACTTCACCCATCACACTGAAGACTGTGCTCCAGTGTCTCATGCCATTATCGGGTGGGTATTAGGGGTGGGCCCAGTTGCTAGCGGGAGAGCCACGCACATATAATGGGAGGTTGCACATGATCAGTTGTTTTAACAAAAATAACTCTGCTGTACAGGTAGGGCCTACACATGTGCATACCCAAGGCCAGACTCAAACCGCTCAACGCCATCGCTCATATGTTTAAAGTGTCCTAACACCACATCCCTGTAACTGTGCTTGTTCAACGTGTGTTTGACTTTTTCTTGGCAGGACAAGGATGAAAATAAAAAAGAGAAGAAACTTAAAAAATGTTTCCTCTACTGGTAAAACTACACACCCTCAGTTATTTTTGTTATACACTCTGTTTTCATTTGCCTGCACTAGATATAACCATAGAGCTGAGGAAAGAGCCTGACATGTCAGAACCTGATATGCCAGATCCAGTCATGAAACTATCACGACAGATGTCTGATGAAGGGCTCTTTGTTCCCCAGAGTAGCATTACTATTCAAAACGTCATTGGCGAAGGTGAAAATCATTACTGAATGTATTTTTATTACATCATCCTTTGCCATTATATGTAGGACAGTTTGGAATTGTATACAAGGCATTATTACATAACTGGAAAGGATACATTCGTGATGTGGTTGCTGCAAAGACACTGAAAGGTAAGATGTGAAATATTTGGTATAATTAATAACATCATCAGAGCATCGGTAGACGCTCTATGTAGGGATGAGACGGATGAAATCTCACGTGACCCGCACATAAAGCAGTTGCAAACACACTCCATACAAGTTAGCTACTGGGCCTTCCAAGGCATTCCATATTTCCTTGCGGGTCTTTCTCCTCGATACATATGCCCAGCTGTCCACGGCACGCCCTGAAATCATTGCACAAGAATTTGCACATATATACACGATTTCAAATTTTTTGTCATATTCTTCTTCTTTTCTTCAGTAAACTGACCTACTTGTGAGGGTAAAGATGGTAAAACTCACACCAATCAGCCTCGCATTCAATGGATTACGATCCTTTTTCGCAAGCGATACCAGTTTTCCCACAAACACGAGCTATATACCAGAATTGTAGATATTTTCTGATCAAGTGAACACAGCTGACGTAGCATAATTCGCACTATTTGCGTTGAAGCCAGAAGGTGTAGTGCACGTGCAACCTGGTCTGCAAAAAGTGGTGAGAGATGCTGTTGCAGCTCAGCCGAAGATTTTCGGCCACAGCAGTGTTGTAGAAACCCCTACATCGGCAGGATATCTTTTCTGGTGCTTGCCCCATGCTCTTTGTACATCTCCAGAACTTAGCTGCTGCTATACAATACACTACAGTGACTTCCCCCCGCTGTAAACAGAATCGAAATGCAGCTGAGTAAACCGTTCCTAGACAGAATGACACCTGGCTCTAGGATCAATATTCATTGACTTAAACAAGTGGAAAAATCATTTCTCTGACATGAAGGGGTGGTGAGTTCACGAAAAATGAGGGAAACAAGAGACTAGAGGAAGGTCAATAATATCAACATCATTTTGTCCCAATACACTTTGTCGACACATGAAAACAACGTGGACAAAGATGTAGGGATGGGGTTATTATGATTATAGACCTCCCTAGTATCTTTTCCCTCGTTTTTCGTGAACTCACCATCCCTATATCCCCCTTCATTTCAGAGAAATGATTTTTTCACTTGTTATTCTTACAAAGGACTATTCAGTTCGCATGATGTCAAGCATCTAGAAGAGGAGAGTAAGAAGATGGCTAGATTTGATCATCCTAATGTCATGAAGTTGATCGGTGTGTCACTCAGCATGGACACAATCCCTTTCCTGGTCATGCCATACATGGCCAATGGTAGTTTGCTATCATACCTGCGAAAGAACAGACCAGAGTTGACAGTAAAGAATGGCATGACAGAATTGGTAAATGTTATTTCTTAGTACAAATATCACTGGCATAACACTGGGTTTTTTGAGTTACACGCAGACTTGTGTTCAATTTGCACACCTTGCAATGCCTCAGTGTAAAACATGATCCTAGCTATAGCACCCTGCATAATAATTATTATGATGTGTTAATCTTTATTAGATAACGGAGAATGGGTCAAGGCTACTGTCAATGTGCCTACAAATTGCAAAAGGCATGGAGTACTTGGCCTCCAAAAAGTTTGTCCATCGAGACCTCGCTGCCAGGAACTGCATGTATGTATGAGTATAGCTTGTTTGTATGTTATCTCATTCTGTTAATGTTAGGATTGATCTAAACAACGTCATAAAAGTTGCTGACTTTGGTCTCTCAGAGGACATCTATGCCAGAAACTATTTTAGACAAGGAGGAAGACAAGAAGAGAATGGGGAAGGCCCTGTGAAATTACCAGTCAAGTGGATGGCTCTTGAGAGCTTGAACGATGGAGTCTTCTCTGAGAAATCTGATGTGGTATGGATATCTTGTGATTCTGAATGTCCATTGTCCAAAATATTTATCACTATATACAGTGGTCATTTGGAGTGACATGTTGGGAGGTGTTCTCACTGGGAAAGAACCCCTATCCTGGAGTGGACACCCTTCTCTCTCGTGCGATATCTGGAGAGTGGAGAGAGACTGGACAGACCCTCTCAATGCCGCCTGCTCACAGGAAATGTATGGCCACCTCTCCACACTAGATAGCTACCATTACATTTACAATGAAAAGCACTAAAGTGCAAACCCTCGGCGCAAAACACGTTGTAATGTTGATGTAGATGTTAGCTACATGGGCTGGGCCATGCGTCGTCGATGGAGCCAGTAACACGAGTCTGCTGTAACACAAGCCAGAGGGGAGTAGTTAGCAATTGGTCAGGTGTTTTAAGAGGCTCTCACATTAATTTGCTTTATTCAATCTATCTTCTCTTCTGTGTTCCAATGCTTGCGACATAATATGGCCAGACTGTGCTAGATGGGAAGGCCAGGCCGTATCCACAAACTGCTTTGTCTCACGTGAACTGTTATGCTACATTGCAGACATACCTTGCTCGTTGTTATCCATTGGGGAACAAAGAGAACAGAGATCAAAACTGACAGAGGAGAGACACTCAAGAAAAACTGCTTGCCCGTCAATCCTATGACATGAACATGCTCCGGCGAGAAACTAACATGACGCGTGCGCTCCAGTGTAGCCTGCCAGCAGCGAGGGCGAGTGCGCGATCAATCGCAATTTGGCTTTTTCGCCTGTTTTCACGCCATCTCTGGAACCATGTTTGTGTGAAAATCGCCACATTATTAACTATGTTCTCTTTGTTCAAAAAGCCGCTGGTGGCACTCATTGGCCGCCTGTAGCCTGTAGTGCGAGAACTCGCGTGGACTAGTCAAACTACGGACAGCTGACCAGACCCGTAACATCATTGCACATGCGCGCCGAGGTTAACTAGTATACAGTCCGATAAGGACCCTCAAATATAGGGATGCCCTCTCTACAAGGACACTTTTTTCAACCCCATGCTAACACTTGAGAGTATTTTTTGACCACCGAAGTATGGATGACTCTATCAAGGGACAAAATTGTTAGACCCATAGCTAATGCCCCTTGTGTGGTGGTTCCACTGTCTTAAATTTTTCTTTACTGTTAATTATAGATTTTGACATAATGAGTGAGTGCTGGAGGAGAGACCTGGGGATAGACCAACTTTCTCTCAACTGGTAACTGTTATCTCTACCAGGCTTGAGGGGATGGCTGGATATGTGGAAACTAAACAAGCATTCCAAATTAGTATAGTTTTGTCATCTCGCGTAATTTTATGTACGCACTAATGATGTTTACTGCTGTGCAGGAAGTGAGCAAAGCAAAATGTCTGTATGGAATTCGAAATTGGCGACCTGCGAGCCAAAGGCCTCTGCCACGCAGTCACTCGGTCACTCAAGTCAGTGGCGTAGCATACTACAACATCGATTGGATAGTAAACCGTCTAGGAAGAGTCTCTTCAACAGACCTTGCAACGAGTGAAGGAGCCAGTCTACAAGGCCGTCCATTGACTCCTTGTTAACGTTTTTTTAGTGAACGAGTGGACCGTGGAACGTATGCTGGCAATAATTCGTGGAATGTTTTTATGAACTTTCAGGCAGCACTTTCGTATTGTTTTCCATGATTCGGGTCAAGTTTCTTCCATGTTTGCATTTCAGGCAATGAAAACATGAGATTGACTGTCGAATTTTCTTGGCTATAGTTTGTAAGGGCAAGTAGAAGGCCACCCCAGCTCCGCCGTGGATATCAGCGAGAGAAAACAGCAGAGCACTCGACAACATTTTGTGGCGCATGCGTTATATATCACGCTAAGTTAGTTTTTACCGGCTCACGGCCAGAGTAGCTCGGGGAACTGATGGTCATTCCGCGACTTTTATATTGATGGTGGTACTGTGGCCTGTGCTGTTGATCAGCCATGCAGTCCTGTGTCCTCATGCAAGGCTGTTGTCCAGGAACCAAAGCTCCAGTGAAGATGGTGTAGCCATATTACTGAGGAGATCGTTAAACGGGAGGGGTGCCCAAATCCGGTTCTTTGCCACCCGCCCAAATTTTACTTCTGTTCCAAATGAACGTACCTTCTCATGGATCCAGAGGGACTTAAAATCCGGCCTGCTTTCAGGAAAGTGGCGAAGCGTATGTACCGTGGCAAAGCCTGGATAGGGACAATAACAATACCATCATGTTTGTAACTGAGGTAAGGGCAATCCCTCTATTATAATTTGCTATAATTATAAAAGTAATTGGTATCCAGTGGACTCAAACTACAACAACCACATGCGCTGGGACAGTGACAGTGTGTGGATTCTGGGAGGGAGCTCAAGAGAACTGGCTCATCACACAGCACATCCACACAGTACTACCAGGAGGAGGAGGAGAGAGACTGAGGAAAGTGACTGTTCAGTTTGAGGCAACTCTCAATGGATGTGATATCAGTAGACAGTGCAGGCAGAATTTTGAACTATACAAGTGGGAGACTTCAGCCATTGACAGAAATGGAGCAACTGACACCAACAATTATGTCAGAATTGATCGAGTCTCTCCTGCTATTACTAGTGGAGTCATGTCCTTTGTTGAGACTCATGATATTGAATTGGGTACCACTGGTGGTTTTTACTTGGGAGTTGTTGACTTGAGCACATGTGTTACTCTCACAAGAATTCTAGTTCTCTACTGTGTGTGTCCAGAGGAGACATCAGATCTCATCTCCAGACCTGAGGCAATTGAATCCCAGTCTCTGGAAGGTTCACCTTCAGTGGTGGGAGAGTGTGTAGAGAACAGTTCCACAGAGTCTGGAGCTAATCCTATTATCGTATGTGGTGCTAGGGGACAGTGGCAGGTGATGAAGCCTTGTCTCTGTAATCCTGGATAATAGCTGGACAGTAGTCAAGACCAGTGCTCAGGTAATGTGACATTGATGTAGTGTCTTTTCATTTTCTACTCTCCATGTTTCCTATAGAGTGTCCAGAGGCAACCTTCTCATCAGGACTGGGTAATGGACCATGTGAGACATGTCCAGCTAACAGTGAGAGGACTGGAACTGCTCTGAGCCTCTGTCCATGTTTCCAGGACTACTACAGGGCTCCTTATGAGGAGCTGTCTGTCCCCTGTACACGTGAGTGTCGCTAGTAAAGCATTTGCTACGTCCAATGTTGTAGCTATACTGTTTGCGTAATGAGGAAGGAGGTCAGTATTATTGTAAGCCACATAGGTGGAGGGAGTGCCTATATAAAAGCTTTCCTATGCATATTTCACAGCTAGGAATATCCTCGGGAAACCTACAGTTATTACCACAATCTGTACGATAAAGGCTGAACCGCTAAGGTTGAAGTCCCTTGGCAATTGCCGCTCATAGTGGTCATACTCCTGGATTATTGTGCAGTATATACTTATGCTGTTATGCATTCTTTGTTCCGTGTGTTAGCGTTTCTGTTGATTGTTTTTCAAAGCTACCAAATGTATGTTTTGGTGTGCTTTTGGCCTGTTGAACTGTTCAGTAAGATGCCAAAGCTATATAAGGCTGCATTCTCTACCTCCCTTGGATGAATGAATAAACACAATTACTATGTACACACCCCATGCAGTTGCAGGGACAGTGACAGAGTTTGTGGTGGAAGAGAATGGAGTGCTGAGCTGGTCTTCACCAGTTCCTCCCAATGGAGTCATTCTCTACTACAATGTCATCATATCCACAGCTGATTCTGGGCAACTGGTCACCAGAGTTGAGGAGTTGGACGTCTTGACTATTGACGTCTCCAACTATGGAGAGATCAACATGGACTAGAATGTTACTGTAAGGGAAGGCACAGGGTCCTGCATTATCAATGCCCTGTGATCCTGTCGTTATAGAGACTGATGAATAAGCTTTCCTGTATGTATCAGTCAGTCATGTTAACACTTGGTTGTGTTGTGTCATACTCAGGTGCAGGCAGTGACGTCAGTTGGAGGAGGGGATTTCTCATCTCCAGTGACAGTATCTCTGAGAGAGCTGTCACCTAACTCCGACTCTGGGTCCAGTTTTAATGAAGCAGGTGTCATTGCTGGTGCAGTTGTGGCCGTCACTCTCACTCTTGGTGTCATTGTGGCTGCTCAATATGCCTATATCTGCTGGTATGTATGTTTTATGTTCAGAATTTAAAAAGACACAAAGGACAGGAGACAATTGAAAAGCATCTGTAGTGTGCACGCGTAGTGCGCATGATCAGTGAACCCTGAACCTATAGGGAGACACGTGCTAACTCAGTAACTAGGTTGTTGGTGTATTGTGTATCTTGATCTATCGTTGGTACAATACTATATTGGTGACCACGACGTGATCTACAGCCATGTCCGTCGCAGACGAAGCTCACGCAACCGACGCAGTCTCGGCCATCAATCTTAAGTTGCCACCGTTCTGGCCTTCTGACCCGCATCTGTGGTTCGCGCAAGTGGAGGCCCAATTTAGCACACGAGGTATCACTGCTCAAAAGACGAAATACGAGTACGTCGTCGCCTCTCTCTCACCTGAGTTCGCCACGCAAGTCCGGGATCTGATTCTCCGTGTCCCCGCCGCTTCGCCGTATGACACGTTGAAACGACAACTAATCACCCGCACCGCCCTCCCCCCGGAGCGTAGGCTCCGACAGCTGTTCCAGTCCACAGAGTTGGGCGACCAAAGACCCTCCCAGCTACTTCGCCGCATGCAACAGTTGTTGGGAGAAGACGCAGCCGGTTCAGATGCCACACTTCTGCGAGAAATGTTACTCCAGCGACTTCCTGGTAATGTCCGTATGGTCCTGGCATCATCAGGAGAAGGAAAGTCCCTTGAGGAACTTGCCCAGCTGGCTGATCGAATTGTCACTGCTGCACCACTCTCCGTGGCCGGTGTCACCTGCCCAAAACCAGCAGGGGAGGTAGACGAACTCCGTACCGAAATAGCCAAACTTAGAGCCACCCTTGCCACCCTCGCTACTTCGTCACCGCCCACACGTCACCGATCTCCCTCACCTCGCCGCCCGTCAAGACGGCATTCCCCACCGCCTCACACAGCGCCCACGGGAATGTGTTGGTACCACTCCCGCTTTGGCGCTAGAGCTCGCAAGTGCACACCACCCTGTTCATACTCGGGAAACGACAGGGCCAGTACGTAGAAGCGGCAGACGTCGCTGGCCTAACTCCAAGCCGCCTACTCTTTGTAACTGATACCTGTTCCTCTACTCGCTTTCTTGTCGATACAGGAGCCCAAGTCAGTGTTATCCCACCCTCTCTCCGGGAAAAACAGTCACCGAGCACCCTCACTCTAGAGGCGGTTAATAAAACCACCATCTCTACGGCACACGTTCGCTGACTCTAAACCTGGGCCTACGTCGCACCTTTAGATGGGTATTTGTGGTGGCGGACGTTGCCAATGCCATTCTAGGAGCTGACTTCTTACAGCACTATGGCTTGGTGGTGGACATGAAACGTCGCTGCCTTACTGACACTACTACCAGTCTGAAAGTGAATGGGTTTATAGCTGCCGCAACGTCTCCTAGTCCATCACTGCTGCCACGGAACCCAGCTACCCCATTCGAGGCCATCGTCTCAGAGTTCCCTTCAGTCACTCACCATGTGTGGCCACTGCCCCTGTCAAACATAGCGTCACACACCACATTACCACCACAGGCCCTCCAGTTTACGGTCGAACACGTCGTCTCTCACCGGAACGATTCAAAATTGCTCGAGACGAGTTCACTCATATGCTGGAGTTGGGCATCATCCGGCCATCAGCTAGCTGTTGGTCATCGCCACTCCACATGGTGCCAAAGAAGACTCCAGGTGACTGGCGTCCTTGTGGGGACTATCGGGCCCTCAATAATTGCACCGTGCCCGACAGGTACCCCGTACCCCACATTCAAGACTTTTCGATATCTCTTCATGGCACCCGAATCTTCTCTAAGATCGACCTGGTGCGAGCTTATCATCAGATTCCTATGGAACCAGACGACATTCCTAAGACAGCCGTCACAACCCCTTTTCGGCCTCTTTGAGTTCGTTCGGATGCCCTTCGGACTCCGCAACGCTGCCCAGACATTTCAGCGATTTATAGATCAAGTCTTACGTGGCCTACCCTTTTGCTATGCATACATCGACGACTTGCTGGTCGCCAGTGCATCACCGGAAGAGCACAAAGAGCACCTGCGACTGGTATTGCAACGCCTAGTGACCACGGTATCGTTATAAACCCCTCCAAATGCAAGTTCGGAGTGGCGGAGCTGGATTTCTTGGGGCACAGAGTCAGGCAGACGGTATCAAGCCCTTGCAGGAGAGAGTTAAGGCCATTCAGGAGTTTCCCATCCCAACCTCTATTCGCAAACTCCGTGAGTTCCTGGGCCTGGTAAACTTTTACCACCGTTTTATTCCTAACTGTGCCTCTATCCTAGAGCCACTGAATGGTCTCCTGACCACACCACAAGGTAGCGACCGTAAACTCAACTGGGATCAGGCAACAACAGCAGCCTTCACAGCCGTCAAGGACGTCCTCGCTACCTCCACACTGTTGTCACACCCTAAGCCGTTCGCACCAACATGCATCATGGCTGATGCATCCGACAGAGCAGTTGGAGCCGTTTTACAGCAACAGATCGGCGGCGAATGGCATCCACTGTCTTATTTCTCCAAAAAGCTCCGCCCAGCGGAGACTCGCTACAGCACGTTTGACCGGGAGCTCCTCGCAGTGTACTTGTCAATTAAGCATTTTCGGCATCTGGTGGAAGGCCGTGATTTTCACGTCGTCACAGATCACAAACCTCTGACATTCGCTCTCGCAACCTCGTCCGACAAGTACACTCCTCGCCAGATCCGACATCTGGACTACATCTCGCAATTTACAACCGATATGCGGCACGTAGCAGGACTCAACAACCCGGTGGCTGATGCACTCTCACGCAATGCCGTGAATGCCATTCACAGTGTACAAGCAACACCAGTAGACCTTCAAATTTTAGCACAGGCCCAGACCGGGGACTCGGAACTCCAAGCACTCCTGAAGTCCTCGTCAACGTCCCTTCGTTTGACGGCTCTTCCTCTTCCGGCTTCAACCTCCACGATCATCTGTGATACGAGTACTGCATCTCCTCGTCCGTTTGTACCTGCACCACTCCGCCGCACCGTCTTCACAGCCCTACACTCCCTTTCACATCCAGGACTGCAGGCGACACAACAACTCATTGCAGAGCGTTTTGTTTGGCCAGGTATGAAGAAGGACATCAAGATCTGGACGCGAACTTGCCTCCCGTGCCAGCGGTCCAAAGTACAACGTCACACTATCACCCCACTCTCCGCATTCAAGACCCCAGACACGCGGTTTGATCAGATCCACATTGACATCGTCGGACCCCTGCCGCCATCAGAGGGACAGACCTACCTGTTAACCTGCATCGATCGTTTCACGCGGTGGCCGGAGGTCTTCCCCATGGCGGATATGACGGCCGAAACAGTGGCTCGTGCTTTGACCGCTGGTTGGATCGCACGTTTCGGCGTACCATCCACCATTACGACAGATCGGGGACGACAATTCGAATCTCGACTTTGGGCACAACTTCTCCAGCTCCTTGGCTGCAAACATCTCCGCACTACTGCCTATCACCCGATAGCCAACGGAATCATTGAACGTTTTCACAGGCAGCTTAAGGCAGCACTCCGAGCCCACACGCCTGCACTGCACTGGACAGAGCGGCTGCCAATTGTCCTTCTCGGCATTCGTACGGCCCTTAAGACTGATCTGCAGTGCAGCGCGGCTGAACTCGTTTATGGCACGACTTTGAGGCTACCGGGAGAGTTCTTTCATCACGACTCTGCTGATACTATCACAGAACCAACCACTTTACTCACCAAACTCAAGACCGCAATGCGTGAACTCAGAGCCGTACCAGTACGTGAACAGTCTCAGCGCAACACGTATGTCAACAAGGAGCTCGCGAGCTGCACACATGTGTTTGTGCGCAATGACACCGTACGTAAACCTCTGCAACAGCCGTACGATGGGCCATTCCGGGTACTTGACAGAGCAGACAAGTATTTTACTCTGCATCTCAACGGGAGGAACGACAAAGTTTCTCTAGATCGCCTCAAGCCGGCATACTTAGAATCAAGCCCAATGACACAACCTCCACTACCACCCTCCCCTCCTCCACCACCTCCTGCTGCCACGTCTGTTCCTGCTAGGACCACTCGCTCCGGTCGGCATGTTCACTTTCCGGACAGACTAATGGGACTAGTTGACTCGTTCGCCAACTCACTGGAGGGGGAGTGATGTAGTGTGCACGCGTAGTGCGCATGATCAGTGAACCCTGAACCTATAGGGAGACACGTGCTAACTCAGTAACTAGGTTGTTGGTGTATTGTGTATCTTGATCTATCGTTGGTACAATACTATACCCTAATAGCTAACACTACCGCACCTCCAGCATAATTACATTGAACTTTACTCCAACTTCATATCACAGTGAACGTTTTGATTGGTCCTTCAAGATCATATTGACTTAGAGTGTTTAAAAGCGGGCTATAACATTACTGTGAGATTCATACTTCTCTCTACTCACTGCTTTGGAACATGCAGTTTCATTATACGTACTTCGTAAGGAGTTGATTGGGTGACTAACACCCCTACTTTTTGGGCTTCTTTGGTCTACACATACTGTACAGTGTAGTTCTATGAAATGTGCCCCTAATTCTAGAATGTTCCGGATTTAATGCTACAATTCTCTCTGCCTCGTTCCCAGGCCCCAGTGAGTATGAAGGCGTTGTGCCAAGCAGCGTGGCTGTGGACGGTGGCATTTGGTAACCTGTTTGTCATCATCATAGCTGAGGGCAGGATCTTTGAGAACCAGGTTTGTCTCCAACACACTGTCTAATCATACTGCACATTTTGGTGCAATTCCAGTGAAATCTCCGATAACGTCCTAATAGCAGACATTCCCTCTTCAACGGATTAGAGTAAATGTACATAAACGTACCAACCGCTATTCTCATAGATACGATCCATTTACTGCTCCCGAATAGCTGACATACATGTACTTACATACAGCTTCTCAATTCTGAACGACGGACCCTCTGGGTGTACCAACCGTAGAAGTGCACCAAACTAATAGGCATGGTTTTTGTGTGTTGGTGTTTTCTGCCAGAGGTAGAGCATGTTAGTGCCTCGAAAGCTTTGCAGAACAAGTTTTTACAAACTATGATGACAAATTTCCAATAATTGCTGGATAGGAATGGGTGAGTGAACAAAAAAAGGGGAGTTTCTCTCAGCGAAAACGGTGGCGCGAGCATGTGCATGTAGATAAGAGTGTGAGAAAACCTCAACGATATGCAGCATAGTTGACACTCATAAAAGATGTGTTGCTTCTGTAGGATCTTGTGCAGTATAAAGCGTGATGCTATTTTGCGTGCATCATAACGTCATAGGTTGTATGGTGTAGTTCGCCATATGTAAGGCTACAGTATCCCTAATGAATGAGGCAGTACTTAAATGCACCTTGAGTGCATGCATCCGAACCAAACCACAACCCCCAATAATTGATGACTGTGCAACTGGTCCTTTATTCACAGGTCCCACTGCATGCAGAAAAGCACCCGCAATTATGATACACACTATTCAAACACCTCTCTATATATCGTATACTACATTTAGTTCTGCCCCATGCTAATACACTGTGGATTCCGAACAAGAGACACATGTCAAGATTTTCTTCACTTTCACTGTTGTAATGTTGCAACACTCTGTGACACCACACACCATCCATACAGGCACTGGAATTCTTCTTCTTTGCCGCCTGCATCGGAGGTGTGGCCATCCTATTTGCAGTGATGTCGTTCTTCTACAAGTATGTGGACCTCTCCACCTACAACCAGCTGCAACAGGAGGGGGAGGGAGATGAAGTCTCCTCAGACGAGACACAGGCCCTCATTCTCTCTCACGACAAGGAACAAGAGCAGAAACAGGGCAGAGAGAAGAATGAGAAAGGCAACGAAAGTGAATTCTGATTATGAATAATCCAATGTGTTCTATTAACTTATAATCTCTGTTTTTGTCTTCACATTATTTTTTACCGCACCTGTTATGGTGAAAATTCTGACAACGCAAGGCAAGAATCGTACCGTGCTGTACTACAATGCACACCCTGCAGAACGACGTTACAGATAGTACCGAAGCTGTAGTTCCTCTAAAGAAATTGCATAAGCCAGTTCTGTGTCTACAGCTGCTAAATTTGACATGTCATTGATTGCCGTTAAAACCCTTTGGATGCCGTGGATGTCTAAAAACCAGAGCCAGAAGAGATGTAGCCAGTGCTGATGGCTCCCAGTACACTCACTCCCTGGCTAACACAAAACCGTGGTATCACTAAGTCGTTCACATACTGAGTGAGAGTATTACGTGCCATAGCACAGTGGTTTGAGGTTTAGCTTTGTGTTGTATTAAGATTTCACTCCAAAACACTCGAATTTTCTGGCTCAGTGAATGTCAGTACAAGAGTACGAAATGTACAGAAAACCCCAGATTAGTTGTGCTATGTTCACGTAAGAAGTTTTGTGCACTTGTACTGACATACACTGAGCCAACAAATACCATAAAGTTAATACTATCGTTGATTAATATTCAGTTTCACATTCATTT